ATTTAATAGTCTTTCAAGACTGTAACTTGCAATAAGTTAACAATAAGTTAACAGCAGGCATCCAGTACTCATTCCTGGGCCCCTAATATTTCCTCCTCAGGATATGCAGCAATGCAATGAGCATCAACAGGGCCAAACTGCTCTTCCTGCCTCTCTGGCTCTCTCATCCCACCACCACTGTTGGCTCCTGCCATCCAGATCACCTAACTAACCACACACAGCCAGCTTGCATCCTCCATTCCCAGTAATTTCTTCCCTCATAATGCCCCCTAATTCTATCCTTCACAGCCCCCCAGTACCACATTCTCCAGCTTTCCTGACAACCACACCCAAACAGACCATTCTATGCCGTAAGTCCTCACAAAATGCACTGATAAGTTAGTACTTAACTACATGCTCTTACAAGCTATTCTGTGGCTGCTTTGGGCATATTTCTTCTTCCCTCTGAAAGAAAAGAACTTTGAGGACAGAGATTACGACCAACCATACTATATTCCCCAGAGTCAATTGTAACTCAAAAGAATAATGTCTAATGTAACGTCATGCCATTTCAAGTGTAGGATGCTTTTGCCTCGGTTCAAGTGCAAATTAAAAGAAAAACAGGAGTAGCAACTGTTATAAACAACTGTTTTTGGCAAGGCCTCCAAGACTCTTAACCTACTGTCCTGAATCACAGATTATTTGCACCAGGGTAATTACAGGTGGCACAAAAAGGCAACCACTAAGAATACAAGTACATCTAGTTTTCTAGAGTCATAAAATCCATCATCATTATCCATGCATCAAATCCATCAGTGAAACAGCTTAAGGCAGAGACCATCAAAAAATTCCCAGAACCACCTCTCTTCATTACTCCAACTTCCATGGTCCTGAGCTAAGCTGCCATGACCTGTGGCCTCCAGTACCACAACAGCCTCCTGTTGTTTCCTGCAGCTACCATGTGATGGCCTACTCTCAAATGTGACCTATATAAGCCTGATCAAAACCCTTGATCCTGGGTCAGTATGACTCCTGGTATGTAGCAGATGGCACCTTCAAAGCAAAGGATGTGAGAATAGTTACTGTGAGCAGGCGGAGGGAAACCACAAGGGAGAGTAGAGTGCTTTGGGGCAGATGACACAGAGCTACCTGACACCCTCCTAGACCTGAAGATGAGAAAAGAAAGGAGAGGGAGACCAAGAACTCTGTGGAAAAGGCATCTATTGGAGAGGCGCCCATCTACAGGAGACACTCCAAACCATGCAATCCTGCAGAAGGGAACAAGCGCACTGATAGTGTTCTCCCTTTCTTATCTCTGATCAGATACAATCATGGCCAAATACAAGCAGAAGCCATAAGACAGGGGAGTCTGTCAATGCATCTCTACCTCCTGGTGCAGTGTAAAAAAAGGGTAGAATGAATCTGGGGAGATAAATGACTATCCAGACAAATGGCTTCCACCTAAATGAAAGTATCTGAAAGTGCTCACAATGGCTCACAAGGCTCTACAAGATCTAAGCTTATCTCTTAATTCTCCTGTTTGGTGACTCACAGTAGCTCTCTACACTAGGCACATACCTGCCTCAGGTCTTTAAAAAGCAAAAAAAAAAAGGTTTACTTATTTAGGCATACAAGAGATGGAATGTAGGCCAGAGGTGGGAATGGAGTGGTGAGAGGAATCACCAGAGTCAGAGTGGGGAGTAGGCAGATCTACTGAAATACACTGTTGAGGGGAGCAGTGAGAGGTCAGGAGAGGTCTGCTGCACCATGGGGGTCACCTCCCTGGCTGGGGATTGAGCATGTGCTGCAGTGGCCACTGATAGCTTCACAGTGCTGAGATTAACCCCTTGTGCCAGCAGGGAGGCCCTGGCTCAGGTCTTTTATACTTGCTTATACTCCTCAGCCCAGGATGCCTTCCCCCGTATGCATAGGGCTTGTTTTGCCATCTACTTTATATCAGAAATTTTTCCTTACAACCTTGGACCATCCTTCTCTCCAGCTCCTACTCCTTCCTTTTCTGGCACTCTTACTCTGCTGAATTTCTCTCCATAGTACTTCAAATTAACATTAGCTGATAGATGATTGAATGATAACTTCCCCCTCCCCATCTTCTAAATGACTTCCCCCAGTCTAAAACAAAGGTTTCATAAAGGCATCAACTTGGCCTTTTGTTCACTGAGTCATCTCCCATACCTTGCACTTAGAAAGCCCTCAAGCATTTATTGAGTGAGTGACAACGAATAGATGGAACGGAAGCACCCATAGCTAAGGGCTCTTTCCAAGTGTATAGGTTTAACTACTAATACCAAATTATTGTTGACAAAGTCCTGATAATCAGGAAGTAGATGGCAAGAATAATAGTAGTACCTTCTATCTCAATGGTAAGCAAAGAGAAAGCAAGGTTGGCATTAAGAGTATATCATCATTAACCCTAGGTTTGTAAACCTAGGGTAGGATAAATGGAAGTCATCAGTTTTTTTCTGCCCTCCCACCATTAGCATGTGATGGACATGTGTGGTTTTGTACGCACGCCTGGTGGTAGATACCTGGGGTATGGAGTGGTGTACACATGTGTGAATACCTGAGCTGAGGGACTGAGGCTATAAGGGCAGTGTGACACAGAGATGAGTGACTACAGAGTAGCAGAAGCTATCGGTGGAAGGGCTGCCAGAGAACACAGGAGTAAGTCCAGAGAGGATAAAAGATTCAGTGGGGGCTGGGAGCCCTGTCAGCCTCCTTGCTGCCTCCTCCCCTGCCTGCTAGGGGATCTTGGTGGCCACACTAAAAATGGTATAAAAATATCAGTAAAAGCCTGAGGGCCCTAGGACTGTCCTTTACTCACCTGCCCAAACTGACAGAGAATCTTCCCTGTGCCTTGATGGCACAACACTAGCACTTCTCCAAGCCTCAGCTGTAAACTGTGTAAGGGCTGAGTGCTACAACGACCTATAGGAGCATATAGCACGGTGCTGGGACCCAATAAATGGGCACTAGAATGATTACTAAAACACTGAGGTAGCCATGAAAACTAGATACTACATTATTTTCATATCTGGAAGTTATTCTAGCCTTCTAACATGAAACCGAGAATAAAAATATGGAGAACATATTTCTATGTTCTACTATCTACCACACAGTTGGCCTAGACTTGAAAGACACCTTATATTCCATGTCAATACCAATACCCAAAGACAATACTAATGTTCCATGTCAGAACTGGCTTCCACACCTGGCCCAATACTAATGTTCCATGTCAGAACTGGCTTCCACACCTGGCCCAGACCTTGGCCGAACATTTGGCAAACCAGAACCTTCTTGTATTCACTTCCACATAAACCACTTAGGCCTAGCTACTTAGGATATAAATGCTTGTGTTTTCTTGGTAGGCATTACTAAGCAGAACACTCTACTGGGGGTGGGAGAGCAAAGTAACATAGGCTTCCTCCATTATCCAAAAGTAGAACTCTCCAATTTGGTATGATTTGGTAGGTAATATTTTTTAATCCGATTACATGTAAAATTTTTTCCATAAAAACTACCAGATTAAAAAAAAAACTACCAAATGGTTATTCAATTTTCAGATAGTGGGAGAAACCTACATAGGAAAGAAGATAAAAAGCAAATTGATAATATTCCTGTTTTTTTGACTTGTCCCTCTTAACTATGGAAATCTGGAAGTCCCCCTTCTAGTCTTTAACACACCAACTTTTGATTCCCTTTCCTCCACCAACATCCTATATATATCTGCTAGTTTAAGCTGGTTAACTACATAAAAGGTGAACCTCCCCCCCCCCATAGTGTTCAAAGAAATAAGGTTCACCTGAATCAAACTCAAAAATCCATCACTTACAAAAACAACAAAGAACCTACAGATGTTTCATTAATGGAAGATTTCTTTGCAATCTTTTGTGAAAGGACACACTGGGGAGTTATATTCAGTGAGAATTTCTGTTTTATTCTGAAATCCATGAAACATAAATCTTCAGTTAAAATATTCTCTGCTAATACGGGTATTCAAGCCCTTGCATTAGGTAATTTATTCTTAGTTATAAATGCACAATGTAGTAATTATTACTATTAATTTTTCATAAACGCAGGCTTCCAACTTCAGGTATAAAACTCAAAGCAGGTGCCTTTAACATAACTTACCTTATCAAGCAATCTTATTTTGGTAAGCAGTCTAATGCTTGTTAGTGTTAAAAAGAATCATCCTGAGCACTCGCCCTAGTGTCGGGGGTAAATATTTCCACAATAACTAACGTGGGAAGAACTCCAATTGGGGAACAGGATGAAAATTACAGTTCATTACTCCATTCCCAAACACTTTTCAAAGTGATAGGTTTTCTCAATCCAGTTGGATGCCTCAATGAATTAGTCCAAAGCTCATACTTTTATTATAGCACTTTCCAAACTGTTTCGTTTCCCTGTCGGTTTTCATCAACAGAGTATGTCACGATCACGGCTTTATTTTTTTCTGAATTGCCGGCGCTAAACACTGTTCCACACATCGCTGGTACTCAAATATCTGAATGAACACTAAATGCCAGCCCACGAGGCAGGCCCCGAACGAGCACTTAGGTCAGTTGTTAAAACAGATCATGGAAAGACCTGAGCTCAGACTGGTCGCTACGCTTCCCCCTCTACGTCTCAAAACCATGAACAGGTTGGAGAAATGGTACTATCCACCCAAGAATCTCCCCAAGTCCCGGCAGAACGGGGTCTCAGACCCACTTGGACCGCTTCGGCCCTCGGGCACCAAGCACGACGACAGAGGGGACCGGGTTACAGAACTCTGCTCCAAGTTTAACTTAGACAACGACCCCCAACCCCAACCAGGCTCCACAAACGCTACACTCCAGAGACCAAGCCTAGGCATCCGGACCTTCTCAGTAGGGAGGCGCCGCGATGCACTATGGGAGTCGTAGTTCCCCGGTGAGTTCCGCACCCGAAGGGCCCGGAGGGCCGGACTCCCGCTCCCAGAAGCCCTCGCGCGGGCGCCTCGCCCAGTCCTGTCACCTCACCTGTTCTATGGACGTGACTGTTTCCACCGAGTCGTCCTGCAACCGCTCCCGCGCGTGCTCGGGCCTCAGACTGTACAGCGGCTCTGACCAAACAGGGGAAGAAGATGGAGGGCAGTAGTAGGTGAAGGAACTCGGAGAAGCCATGATCAGGAGAGCAGCGGGCCGTGTATAGGACTCCGCTTCGTCAAACAACGCGTATTGAAACTCGAGCGGGCTAAGGCGCTACGGCGAGCGGGTAGAGTCAAAAGTATTTTGAACGCGAATCATCCTCCCACTTATATATCTTCAGGGAGTGAGTTACCGGAATGTTGCCGCCCCCCATTGGGCAGGGGAGCTGCTGCAGGAGGTTCAGCTTCCTGGTGCTCAAGGAAGAGAGGATGTGAACATCTGAATTTCATTTCAGAGAGACTGTGTAGATGCCTCTATTCGTTATGCAAATTAAACACTCACATTTCAACATTCTGCAAATTCGCACTTAATTGTAAGTGCAGTAGTTTGTAGTTTCGGTTGCCTAAGAACCCAATGAGTGTAACTTTAAAAGCTTTGACGGCTCTCCTCATTGCTTCAGCTATCGTAATAGAATTATTGTGCACCTTTGAGCCAGCAGCTTCTCAATAAAGGAATTGCCATGCCAGTACTCAGTGATGGAAGGAAAGGGCACTGTTTCTGCTTTGCCTTTGGGATTACAATGCAGTTGCAGGAACTAAAATGCAGTAGAAGAAACCATTATACATGAAACAACCAAGGAAATGTAACAAGGTGTCCCCAGGAAAAGGGGAGGCACCAGGTTCCCTGCCCCACGTAAGGGAGGGTGGAGCTGAACAGGGAGAAGTAGCTGGTGAGGAAACTGGGGAAGGAAGGAAGCAGGATAGAGACCCAGAAGGTGACTTGGAGGAGGCATGTGAAGCAGAGAGGCATGTGAAGAAACTGTGCTTGCTTTTTGGTCCTGGATTGATTGAAACAGATGGGTGAGAGACCCATGGGGAGGTTAACAGTGGCAGCTTTTATCTTGATTTTGATTTTGCTCTTTTCCTTCCAGACTTGTCTGTTACTGACCCTTTTCTATGGGTCACAGCCAGAAGGTGCTTTAGACTTTGGCAGGCTTTTAGGATTTGCTTTGGGACCATCCTGTCTGACTGGACATTTACCCATGAGGGGATGGGTAACTTGGGTGCTTGATTTGGAAACTATATTCTTTGTCTTTTCGGTATTGCACACTACTTGTATTCCAGTAAAGGTCTTAAATGTTTTGTCTTGAAAGCAGAACATATTTAGAGCCAGCAGGTTTGGGGGTGCCCCTCTCCCTGCTCTATAACAGAAATACTCATTCAGCAATATAGAAGCACCTACTATATGTCAGACGCTGTGCTAGGCCTTAGGAGCCACTCATATGGACAAAATGAAGAGTGCAAGAGGAAGGAATAGCAAAGTTGAGAAGATACATCACAGTGCTCTCTACAGATGTATGTTTTTTTTTTAAGATTTATTTATTTATGCATACAGAACTGGGGTACAGGCCAGAGGTGTGAGGTGGGGTGAGAGGATTCACCAGAGACAGAATGGGGAGCAGAGTATGCAGATTGACTGAAATACACTGCTGAGGGGAGCAGTGGATAGGTCAGGAGAGGTCTGCCACACAATGTGGGTCAGCTCCCTGTCTGGGGATCAAACTTGTGCTACCATGGAGAGCTTCATAGAGCTATACTTTAACCTGTTGTGCCACCAGGGAGAGCCCAGATGTATGGTGTTTATTCTGATATTTAATCTCTAAGTGTGGGATCAGTCTCCCTAAAAGGGTCACATAAGCTTTCCTCCATGTGCCCAAACAGGCCTTTTGTTAACTTGGTAGGGACTAGAGGTCATTGGAGCCCCTGTAGATTTATTACTACTTCAGGCTACAGATTGTTTTTAGTTGAGAATGATGAAGGCCCTAGAAGCCGAGGAGTCCTTCTCTCTTCCCTAGTGGGAAGAGAAAACACTGTTCCCTCTTTTATGACCTAGAATAATGTCATTTGTGGTGTCTCATCCAGTAAACATGTCCTCTCTGAGGATCTAGTCTTTACTCTCAGAGTAAGGATAAGGTAACCCCCTCTGTCACCAAGTCTCTTCTCTCCTTGATGCCCCAGTTCCCTAAAAATAGGATAAATTTCTCTGGTCAGCTCCACTACTCTTTAGAATTTACAACTATGTAAATTTTCCATATGCATCTTATTAAATTGATTGCTTTCCCCTTACTAACCTTTGATGCTGATTTGACTACTCATCCAGACTGAGAAAACCCCAGAGGGGTGGGGGATTTTTCTCCTGTCCCCTTAGCAGTGTTCAGAATTAAAGTTATTTCTTTGGAATGGGGTTAATCATCATATATACCTCCACTAAAATAATGTAAAAGTTGTGACTTTGGGATAGCTTGCTACCTTTGGGTAAACAATAGAAAGGAATCTCTTTCAAAGCCTACATTAAAAAGATCAAACTAGGGCCCTCCCTGGTGGCACAGCGGGTTAAAGCACATCACTAAGAAGCTAAAGCCACTTCTGCATGAGTTTGATCTCTGCCTTCCGGGGAGGTGATCCAAATGGTTGGCAGACCTCTCCTGACCTGCCTGTTGCTCCCCTCAGCAGTGTACTTCGTGGATCTGCCTGTTCTGCTCCCCACTCTGACTGTGGTGAATCTTCTCACCACCCCTGTACCTCTGGCCGTTACCCCAGTTTTGTATGCATAAAAAAATAAATCTTTTTAAAAAAAAAATTCTGAAATCCGAGAAGACCTAACTGGCTTCAAGCTTGTAAACACTAGCTCCATGCCCATTTTAGTAGTACTGTTGACAAGTCCTGTAGGTGGCGAACTGTTACTAAATCTGAGAATATGTGAGACTGTGTGGGTTAGGATCACAGATGTGACTGCACTATGCTTCCCTCTCTTCTAACATTTTATTATCTTTCCCTTTGTTTTGCTTTGGGAAAAAAATTATATAAGGTCTAGGTGATATCTCAGGATTCAGTCTTCTTTGTAAAGAGCTGCTTTGCTGGCTAGAAATTTAAATGGAAGCAAGAAAATTAAAATGAAATAGAAATGGAAAGAATAGCTGGAACAGTTTTATAACAAATTGTTACATCTATTACAGGTACAGCTAAAGCAATTGCAAATTTTATTCAAGAAATAGAAATTCATTTCTGAGATGCAGTCTCCTCTGCAATGGGATCTGAAAGATGTTAAGAGGGGGCACAGCAAGAGTCTCTTGCAAGACAGTGTCTGTTCATTCAATAAATATTTGAGTACCTGTTATGCACTGGACTCTGAGCTAAGTGCTGAAGAGACATGACAGACAAGCCAGACCAAGTCTCAGCTCTTACGGACTTCATGATTTACCAGAAGAGACATTAAACAATCATTACAGAATTGCCTATTTCATTACAGTTGGGTGAAATGGCATGAGGCAGAAAACAGCACAGGGCTTTCTGAAATTGCCCGGTGACAAAGAATTAAGGTAATCTGGAAGCTCAGGAAACACAGGATGAAATGAGTTAACTATCACAGTGCAAGGGAGGACATCTCGGGCAGAGGAAACCCATCACCACCCAAACTAAAGTGAAACAAAGAAGGAAAAATAGGAGTTTTATATTCTAGGTAGCATCGAAAAGATTGCTTAGTGTTAAATCTCCAGCCCCACCCCTACCCCGGTTGTTTTTCCTCTGGGTCTACTGAAACCATGGTTGGAGAAGGAGAATGAACATATATGCTGACGGTATGGCAGGAAATGATGAACTTAAAGGAGACAGTCTTAAGGATGATTACTAATAGAAACTCCAGATTGAACTGCAGATGGGTTGGGTTCACTTGTTTTAGTGACTGACATTCTAAAGTATACTGAATTTTAATAGTTTATTTAAATAATAACAATAAAGGTATACCATGGGATTTTGTACTGCCTTCAAGAAAAAAACTTAATGATGCAAACAAGCCACTAGAGGTCGCTTCTAATCCTAAATGGACTTGACTTACAAATCCTGATGTCTGCATGAGTGGTTTCTTTTAATATCTTTTGTTGCATATCTTGGAAAGTTTGGAAATTGATAGACTCACTTGTCACCCCAATAAGTTATGGGTTTCCTCAGTTATGCGTTTCCTCCCCTGCATTTACTTCTCTACCAGCATCGATGGTGTCCTTCTCTGTGGTAGCTGACCTTCCAGTCCCCTTGGATAGAATGACAGCTGAATGCTTACCTAGAGTCAACCTCTCCTCCTCTCCTCATGTGCCACTACAGGCCATTGCTCAGCAATTCCCTTTACCTCGCCTAAGATATCAGAGTGTACCTGTACTTAAATATGCCCATCACCCCCAAACAGGCTTTTCCCCCATTTTTAGGGGAAAAAAGACTTTTAACCCTTTTGATTCCACCCCTCCAGCTACCTCCTCACCACTCATTTCCTCCCTATTAGTGTATCCAATTCCTCTTCTCCAACTGTTTCTTGAACCCATTCCAGTCTGGCTTCTCTGTCAGTTCTTGTCAAGTATCAATTAAACTTCATATTACAAAATCCAAGGGGTAATTCTCAGTCCTCATCTCATCTTCCTACTTGACCTCCTAGCAACATTTGACCCTTCCTCTTGAAATACCTGCTTGTATTGTCTAGCACTGGCTTTTGGTATATCTTTATCTCCTCAATGTTCTAAGTTTAGAGCACCCCAGGTTTCTCTATCCACACTCACCTATGAGCTCAGATGGTCTCAATGTTTTAAACACCATAGCAAAGTGAAAACTCCTCATCCATAGCTTCAAACTAAAAGTCTCTCTTGAAATCCAGAGTTCATATATAATATCCTACCTGCATTTTCATTTAGTTATATAATATGCATTTCAAAACATATGTGCACAACAGAGCTGTTAAATTCCCTTCCAAACTCTCTGTTATGGCAACTCCATCCTCCCAAAACTCTAAGTAGTTTGAGTTGAGGCCTCTCTTTTCTCACTTCCCATATATCTTGTTGAGATAAATCTAGAATCTGACCACTGCTTACCAACCCTACTGCTAGCATCTTGATACAAGCTGCCATCATCTGAAACTTGTATTCTTATATTCAGGAAGAACCACATATGGCCAATGGACTCATGAAAATATATTTTATATATTTTTAAGATTTGTTTATTTATGCATACAGAATTGAGGCACAGGCCAGAGGTGCAGGGGCATTGAGAAGATACTTCAGTGACAGAGTGGAGAGCAGTACAGGCA